CGATCTGCCAGCGCTGACTGGCGGAACGGACGGGGGAGGGGGCGGGTACAGCTGGCTCTGCCTCTAGATAGGCAGAGCCACCTGTCACTCACGCAGCTGGGCGGATCCCGTCATCTAAGTCGGGATCCACTCCAGGTGCGGTGTCTCAGTATACCGCGAGCTGTAGCTCACGGTATACTGAGCTTAGGGTGACGGGAGGACACTAGTTTGTGTCCTCCCGTTACCCCAAGGAGAACTATGGGGAAAAACACTGACCCCATAGTTCTCCTTTAAAGGACTTGAACTGTATGCAAGAAGAATTATTGCACTGAATACCCCATTTACAAGAGGAGAACTTAGGGCGGTAGGGGTAGGTTTAGATGTTCTGATTCAAAGACAGTGTGTCAGGAAGTGATGATAAACTGTTCTGATAGGTACACGGGCAGCAAAAGGAATACAATCCTTTTTAGTGAAATGGAAACATGTTGGTTGGAATTCCTGACAGGCCTCGGATGTGTGTCCATGTGTAAATCTGTTGGGGAAATTGACCCTCAAGCGTTTAATCCCGTTGCAGCAGAAAAGGAAGTCGGGAGAATGGGATTCACTGGGACAAATAGCAAATGGTACAGAGAACAATAAAAAAAAAAGAAAACCTCACAGAAGCCTTAACATTCCCCGCTGAACTAAAAAAAAACCACATATTAATGGGAGTGCTAACTGTAATTTTAAACACGCCGTTAGTAGACATTTGGTGTTGCATGCAAGTAGAGAAGGGCCATGTTATCAAGAATTGGGACTGGTTCACCCCATAGCGTTTCACTAAATGCATGGTACCATATGGTACTACATTCGTTGCAATGTGGTGAAAAAAAGTAGTGAATTCGTTTTTTTTTTGCAGTGCAACACAATGCATGTTATTGTGGTAATGTGTGCTGCTTCAGTGCACAGCTCCTGGGAGGTGCTTTGGGGTGCCATTAAAATGAATTGTGATGCTTCTAGAGCATGGTCAGCCTTGCTAGGTGTACTGTGCAGTAGCAGGCGCTAAATGCTCAATACAGTGCTTTTAGGGTAATGCTATGGTGTAACAGGCCCTAAAAGAGTACTGCTAGAAACACTAAGCCAACAATGGGGGGAAGGCTTTAGATAGCAGTTGGAACAGGGGAGTGTGACAACAAGGTCTGGGAGTAATGTGGAGGTGCAAGGTGGAAACGAAACATTTCTGCATTATATACTGTATCTCACATTCATTATTTTAAACTTTTTAATCAATTGAACATTTCATTAATGCATGTAATATATGGGATAACCTTTAGTGAAATAACCCCTCTGACTGTATACATGAGTCACTGATGTGGTAGCCTTTTTTTTTAAAGAGATCAATGCAAAATATAATTCATATTTGTTCATTGGTCAGCCAACATTATACAGTATAATTGCTATTCGCTGTAGTGCTCCATCTGTGGTGCAACTACAAATCCCATGAGTCATTGCAAGACTCTGATAACCAAAAGCATGAATCGCGCAGGTAGAAGCATGAAGGGAATTGTAGTTTGACCACAACTGAAGTGCCGGAGTTTGCCTATCCCTGCTTTTGTATACATACTATATGTGTAAGACTGTATTTCTGGAGAATATATTTCCATAATAGCATAATTTCAGTTGACAAGAAAAAGCCGTATTTTCAACAAAACTGAATGCTGTATCCATTTAACCACCCCATGCTGCTCGCCCACCATAGATCTCATTTATGGGCAACAATGAACAATGTATTCTCTTTTAAAGATTTGTATTTAATAGCATATGATTTGTCTTAATGTATTTTTTGTTGACAACCGCTGGCAAAGACACCTGTTAACAAACATTAGCAACTAATTAATTTAAAAGTAATGGGTTTTATAATACGCTGGGCATCTTGGCATATTCTCAACTCCATTAGCACAGTGCTAATATTATTCAGTTATATATTTATAAATCTTAATGGTTAATTTTTACAACAGCTTGTCTTTAATTAGGTTATGTTCCCATTTATAAAAAAACAGATCATTTTATTGAAATGTTAATGTGGTCAGCTATTAAAATGTTTAAACCAAGGTTTAAGAAGAAAGAAGCTAAGCAATATTTACACTATAACTCTAGCGCATTTTTTAGGAAAGCAGCCCTCAATGTGACTGACCACCTTAAATTTGTGGCATGCTCATGTTTGCCACGCTACTAATGTGAAATATTCGTAGCTGTACATGGCCATTCCTCCTCATCATCATGTACTGTAATTGTAAATAGTGGGGGTGCCCAAGGACAGAATAGAGCTCCTACTGAATGCAGAGTGGGTACAAACTAAAGGTGCACCAAAAATGAAAATTTCAAACGCGAAACGAAATAAAGTCAGGACGAAACGCAAAATGTTTTTTATTTTAACTTTTCCAATTTTTTATTTTTAATAAACTTAAATTGTTTTATATATTTTATTTGTTTTTTAAGTATTTTTATTTTTTGCTTTACTTTTAGGGGCTTCGGGGAAATATTAGGGGTCTAAACAGTGTGTTGCTATTGATACATAACTTGAGGACAGAGTATGTATACTTTAACCCCAATAATGAATGAACAGGAGGTGATGTAGACCACTCCCATTCATTCATAATTGGGGACACAGTAACCATACTATGTCCTCAATTATTTACAAACCCTCAGCGATCACTGATCAGCGGTATTGACCAGAAAATGGCACTTTCGGCATTATGCCAAAAGTGCCATTTTCTGGCCAATACAGCGGTTCAACCCCTGCTTTCTCTCCTCCCCGGTCGGCGCTGCTCTGTGTCCCAGCAGGGAGGAGAGAAACTCTCACAGTCGGCCGAGCGCTGGGGGAGGAGAGCGCTGTGAGCGGCCGGTGTCTCTCCTCCCACACTGCTCAGCCTCCTGTCACAGATCAGAGGAGAGCAGTGTGGGCGGAGACAGCCAGCGCTGTCACAGCAGGCTGAGCTCTCCTCCCGCACCGCTCGCTCAGCCTCCTGTGACAGCTGTCAGGAAGAAAAGCGAGGTACATTATGCCAAAAGTGCAATTTTTGGACCATATGTTTGGGCGGCCGATATATTGGTGCATCCCTAGTACAAACTTCAAATTATTTTGGTTTTCTGGTTTGTGCGCATTTTTAACCCTTCCGGGTTTAGAAATGCTTATTTATAAAGGCTAGGTTAAAACCACTGATGCCAAACCTGCAGTCTGGATACAGTATGTGTTGTACAACCTACAATCAGCATCATCCAGTGAATGGAATGGGAGTACTGATCTGTAACATGTACCAGTCTTTCGTTTTTTCTTTGCAGCATGACTTCAGTCTCCAATTAAACTTGTAGCATGTAGCATTCCCGTTGTCTCATCATCTCCTATTGCAGGTCTGCGCTCTCTGTTTTCTGTAGTGTTACTTATACATTTAGTTACCCACCACTCTCAATCTTGATTAGTTTTTCTGACATAAACTTGTCAGGAATGGGGTTGCTTTGCAAGATTGGTTGGTTATACATTTACCTTACAGTCCACTTAAACTGTTTTGTCCTCCTTGCTATATTTGTGAAGATAGATCGGTTGTAAGTTATTTTGCCTTGTTTGTTTTCTTTGTCTTTAAAAGACTATGGGGGGAATTTATCGAAGCTGGATCAAGACAAAATGTGGAGCAGATTTGCAATGCAGCCAATCAGCTTCTCTCTCTCATTTTCTAATCTTACCTGAGCAAACTGAAGAGAGATGCTGATTGGTTGCCATGGGCAACTGCTTCAGATTCTGTGTGCTCCAGTTTTTATAAATTCCCCTCTCTGTGTTATAAGATACAATCCACTCACATGTGAGATGCATCTAACGTTCTAGCTGTCGTTCTTTATTGTTATGTATGTTGTTTGAGAATAGTGTACTTAGTGTCTGTAGCCTTAAAGTGATATTAAAGTCAAAGATATGTTTCCCTCCCCCAATGTTAATGTTAGCACTTACCTTAAATGATGTCTCTTAATCCGATCTTCTTCCCTGTCGTTTTCATCTATCCACCCAGCGCTGCTGCGGGTCTCTGATCCAGTCCTGACTCCTCTGTCCTTGCGGGCACTTTCTGTCCCACGGTGTCTGCATGCGGGTACACGCGTCCATAGACTTACCTTGTGTCTCTCCTCGTCTCCCGGCCGAAAATGTGAACTGTGCATACGCCCGCCCCAAGATGCTTTGCGGCTGCCCGATAATTTTCACATTTTCAGACGGGAATGCGCTGGCATGCATACTGAGCTGGCCAGCTGGAAGCACTTTTGTAGGTCCATATGCCATACGTCCTTGGCAGCGAAAGGGTTAAGGGTTGTTTTAACTTTTATGCATGCTGGTCTGCTATGGCTGAATGTTTGAATATACAGGTGGTCCCCGGGTTACATGCAAGTTCTGATCCCGCATACAATAGCCAGCTTGCTATTGGCTATTGCATTTGACAATATCCAATAGAAGGTTTGGTATAGCACCCAGCCTGCAATGAAGAGGAGGCCGGGGGGCGGGACAGCAAAGGAGCGGCCGAACCGGGACGGCGAGCAGATGATCGTCCGGACCGGGGAAACTGACGGATTGGCGGAAGAGGAGGCCGGGACACCAGCGGAGGTAAGGGGGGCAGCGGCAGAATGCAGCGGTCTGTGTCCCCGCTGCCTTCTCCAACACAGGCGCAGAGAGCAGCGGGGACATAGGCCGCTGCAGCCACAGTTCTCCTAAATGTACCGGCGGCTGCCGGTACATTTATGAGAACTGTGGTCCCCGTTCGTAAGTAAGGATTGTCCGTAAGTCGGACGTCCGTAACCCGGGGACTACCTGTATGTCACAGTGAAATTCAGCTTGGCAGGTACTTCTGTTCAGAAACTTTGCCGGCTGATATATTTGGGTAGGTATTAGTAAACAAGGAATATAACTTTGGATGTGGTTTGCTTGAACATCGTTTCTGATTAACATATTTGTGTGTCTCTGTCACTACAATTTGTTGTTGTAATATTTTGTTTCCCTTCATTTTCAGGACAAAAAAGAACGGGTATCCAAGTTTGATACCTTACGTCATTCAATAGCAGGAATTATACGATCGCCAAAGTCCATGCTGGGATCTTCATCTGTGAGTTATGATCTCATATTTTCTTAAAGCAAAGTAGACCCAAGGTTGTTTTTATTCAGTATGTAACTTTAGTAGTATTTTAAAGTTAATGATAACTTTTTTTTCCCTGTGATAATACAAGTTCTGCATCAGCCCAGTGTCATGTGACTGTTGCTATACAACATTTGTTATGAGGCATTTGTCAGAGGATCTTGTCTGAGTACTGACATTAGCAAAATGTTTAGGCCAAGCTGACCAGTAAGCACTGCTGCTTCAATGGTCTCATGTAGTAGGCTTCCTATGATCGTTTGGTTTAGCAGAAACTTTGTGACTAATGCGTGTGCATAGTTAGTTAAGTTGGGATGTAGATTTCAATTTAAGTGAATGGAGGCCACAGCACACATTTGCATATGCAACTGTAAAGATTTTGGGCATGATCATGATCTATGCAGTGTCGGGAAGACTACACTGAAAACTTTGAAGGGTTGGCTTGTAAGTTAGTATAACTGTATGAATGTGCTGGAGGAAGAGGGGAGGAAGTAGGGGAAAAAAACTGCACTATAAATGCAGTTCTCCTAGCTCGTTTACTAGTTTACAATTTAAGTAATACAGGGATATAATGTGATTTGTAAGGTATATGTTGCTTTTTATCCCATGTTTCTGTGTGCAGTAGAAACTGAGATATAGGCTTTGAGCTTTCACTCTTCTTTCCTGACCATGCTCTGCAAAGGAGATGGCTTCTTGATTTACAGCTCTTATCTCACTGTCTTTGCACTTTTCAGAATCAAGTGAATACACAGGAATGCAGGGGTGTGGGTCAGGCTTTCACAGGAATCCGCACAGGCACCCGAACTGGAAGGGGAGCCTTGTTTTCTGTTCGGAAAGTGCAGAGACCGTGAGACAAGAGCTGTTAATCAAGAGGCCATTTACTTTGCAGAGCTCAAAGGGCTCTTTTCGCAGGGATGGTGGACTTGGAGGAAACTATGGCTGGGCTTCCCAGGACGGGACCTCCACTTTCCTTAAATACCTTCTTTTCCCTGAGGTTTCCTCTCCTTATCAGAAAAGGCAACCATTTCTAGTGGAGCCCACCCGAGTTTTAGCCTCTTTTTGAGAGGAACAGCCTTCCTCGGCTGGATGCAATATATCCAATGGAGTCCTATATCTGCTTTCCTTTTCTTTTTTTGGGGGGGGCAGTGTTCACAGTCGTCGTCCCCTCCTACTTTGGCTGTTCTTTGTGTCCCCTAAGTGACCTTCCTAGGGTTTGCCGCCGGTCTCCCCCTGGAACTTTACTGCATTTATTGTATTGCAAACCTGGTGCTTCCTCTCACCATGCTGACGTACTTTGCTGCACCCACTGCATCTCAAGATCTGTGGGATCCTTTAAGTTGGGGTTTAGGCTTTTTTTGTGCTCTCTGTACTTTTCTTTTTCTCCATTTGGGTGTTGTTTAGGTTGGACTTCTTCCTTACTAATCCCAGGTCATGGGTTCCTTTTCAGTCCAAGGCCCTTGGAGAATAATCTCTGCTTCCCAGCGCTACTGCCCACCACAGGAGCAAAACACTTGCCACTTTCATTGCTAAATTGTTTGGTTCTTGGTCTAAACCCTTGTGCCAATATTGTGTAGCCAGATTAGTGGTTAAAAAGTCAGTGAGTATGTTCAAAGGTCTCATGGATTCCATAAAGGAGGAAATGGCAACCGCTTTTTGGTACCTCAGGATATTTCTTAACCATCAGCCCATGCGGCCACCCCTTTTCAGCAGCTTCTGTTCCCCAAGTTATGTTAGTAGAATAGAGCCGGGGGCTTTGGGGGAGCCTGCCAAATCTTCGGAATCATATTATGAATAAGAGGAAGGAGAATGGGAGGAATCTGGGGAAGATGGGAATGGATGATGCACAAAATTCTCACTGCCTTCTGATGAGACTAATCAACTTTAAAGTTTTAAAGATTTGTGATACCCTAAGATTAAAGGAACAACATTTGGAAATGTCTATACATGATAAAATGTATAGAGGCCTACCGAGTAAAAAGGGGTGTACCATACCAGTTCACTAGCCCCTCAAACAATTTATTAAAACTGAATAGGCAGACTCAGGAAAGCGCTTGTTCTTTTCTGCCACACTTAAAAGCAAATTTCTCCTTTTGGAAGAGTATTGCAAAGTATTGTAATAGGATAAATCCCATTCAAAAGTATCAAAGAAGATGGACCTTTCCTTTTTGAGGATATAGTTACACAAGGATTCGATGGACAAGAAAGCTGCACCCCTCCACAAAAAATGCGTCGGAAGCAGTAAGGGTGACCTGTAAACCTGCTCTGGCTTCAACTTGCATAGACAGAACTCTAAATATCTAACTGCACTAGCTTCAATCGCATCTGTAATCTGGCACTCCAAGTGAGGCAAATTCCTTGCTCCTTTCTGGTACCATCCAAGGCAGTAGCATATATTGCAGACATGTTGTGGAAACTGTGAGATTTTTGGCACACAACGACTCTAATCAACTCTTCTAGAAGAGCTTTGTGGCTGAAGATCTGGATAGGGGATGTTGCCTCCAAGTCCACACTTTGTGGCATACTGTTAATGGTGAACTGCTATTTGGGCAGGAGCTAAAGATGATATTAAACAGGTCTGCAGATAGAAAAAAGGGATTTCCGCTTCTAAAAAAGCAACAGAACAAAGTTTTTTTTTTGTGGCCAACACTCTCAAAACCCCAAAGGCCTCAAAAATCAAGGCAAAGAAAAAGCTGGGCCTAATTCACTTGTGGAACAGAACTGTCAAACAAACCCCCTCAAGATTTCTTGTAACACAGCTCTCTTAGGACACCGCCAAAGCTCAAGCTTTAATTTTCTCCCTACAGGAACTGCTAGATCAGGGAGGGGTCTGTCTGATTACCAAGGAGGAAGAAATAGAGGATGTTAGTCCCACTCAGTAGAGATCAGGATTATTCTGAGTCTATAACCTTTAAACAAAGTATTAAGATAGAAAAATTCTGCATGAAATCGATATTTTTGGTCAGAGACTTTCTTCCTCTGAATACCTTTGTGGCTTTGTTAGCCCTCAAAGGTGCTTCCCTCCATATTTCCGTCAGGGAATCATCCCAGAAGCTATAAGGCCTGGTTCACACCTGGTCGTTTTGTAGCGCGTTCGAACGCTCTGCAAAACGCTCTGCAAAACGCTCAAACACCGAAATCCCATTATTTCCTATGGGTATGGTTCACACCTGGGCGTATTACAGGCCGTATGAACGCGCTACAAAACGCCCTACGCCCAAAGAAGTACAGGAGCTTCTTTGGGGCGTTTTTGTTGCGCGTTTCCATTGGGATACAGCCAAGTAGCAGTCAGAAACGCGCGCTTGTCGCACGTTTTTTACCGCGAATTGTGGTAAAAACGCGCGTCACGAAATGCGCGACAAACGCGCATATTCGATAAGCTTAGGTGTGAACCCAGCCTTAAGATTTCGAATCAGAGGTCTCAAGTGTATAGTCCATCTGTTGTACAAAGCCTTGCTCTTTGGCCTTTCCTCAGCTCCAAAGATCTTTACCAAGGTCTTAGAAGAGGCCCAGAAAATCCTGAGACATAATGGGATAGAAATAATACCTTACCTAAACAATCTCCTCTTCTTTGCACACTCCAAGACATCGCTTATGAAGAACCCTTACAAAAATGACTACAGTTTTTTTTTTAGAAAAAAATGCAATATTGTAGTGCAACTGCAGTACAGGTAAAATACAACTGCAGTACAGGTGAAGTATTTCTAAAATACGACAGCTGTAGAACTGCAGTATTACTGCAATACAGTTGAAGTATTACTCCAGTACATCTAAAATACTAGTAACAGGGTTGTTCACAAAAGGGTGAATAGTTTGGAGAAGGCAGGAAAACTGAACAATCTTGGACAACATAGCTAAACTGGAAAGTGAGCTGAATTGGAGAATTTTTCTCAATTGGCTATTTTGTCCTAGATTGTTCACTTCTCCTGTCTTCCCCAAACTCTTCACCCTTTCGTGAATAGACCTGTAAAATACAACTTCAATACAGGTTTCTCTTTGTTAATGTTTACTCTTATGTAATACTTTATTCTATAAACCAGAAAAATAACCCGAAATCAGAAAACAAATTGGCCAAGTGTACTCGCAAAAGGAATTAGTTGAGGTTTAGGCTTTGAGCACCACACACAAACTCCATCATTTAATGTTGCATAGCAGTGGTCCATAGCTTTTATTTGCTATAGAGTGTCAGGTAGCCCATGCAGTCGGACAATCTCCTTGATAAACATTTGGGCCGTCTCAGCTGCAGACGGCGTCTTGGTGAGGGGAACAAAATGCGCCATCTTGGAAAGGCGATCCACCACCACAAAATTCCCGGTATAGCCCTCCGAAGGGGGAAGTTCCACAATGAAATCCATAGAAATCATGCTCCATGGCCTATCAGGAATCGGCAGGGAATTCAACAGCCCCCAAGCCTTGGTCCGACTGCCCTTATTACGAGAACAGATGGCACAAGACCCCACATAGGTCTTACAGTCCTTCCGCACACCTGGCCACCAGAAGTAACGTTGGATCAGATCCAAGGTCTTAAGGTTCCCAAAGTGCCCGGCCAATGGGGCATCATGACATAGGCCCAGGACAGCAACCCTAAGGGGCTGTGGTACAAAAATCTTGTCCTCGTAGAAGAACAACCCGTCCTCTTCCCGAAAAGAAACATCTGGGGGCAGTCCTTCCAGGGTGGAGGCACGCTGAATCTCGGAAACCAGGTCTGGCTGTAACAAAAAAAAATTATCCGTCCGTAAAATCGTATCAGGGGGAACCACTGCGTCTGAATCAGTGAACATCCGGGAGAGTGCGTCAGGTTTCCCGTTCTTGGATCCTGGACGGTAAGTGATATGGAAGGAAAAACGAGAAAAAAATAAAGCCCATCTTGCTTGACGAGGTCTAAGTCGTTTTTTTGCAGACCGTAAGTACTCAAGGTTCTTGTGGTCAGTGAATATCAATATCGGGTGAGCAGCGCCTTCCAGATGGTCAATTTG